CTTTGTACTTTAAAATATTATTATCTTCAGAGTGAACTATTTTTAGTCACTTCCTTGTTGGACAATAATGCATAAGTCTATTAGAATGTTGAAATAAAACCTTCAGGACCAAACCTGATGCAGTCAGTATCTGTTGACCCATTCCTCTTTACTTTATGATTTACAGTTTGGATCTTTCAAACCTGATGCTGGAATATCAGGAAAGTCTTCATCACTTCTCTGGCAATCTAAAAAATATAGAAACCATAAGAAAAGGTACAAACAATAAACAAGTAACAAAAGCTCTACACATGAAGTTTCACCAACTTTCCAGTGAACAACTACCACAACAATGTCCCAGCAGATATTTCCATCCTTTTGGAGCGGCTGGAGCACGACGCCTCCGTTCTATTTAACGTCACACAATCACATTTTTCTGACGCGCTCTCCTTCAGTTCAGCTCAACTCTGTTGCAGCTTTTAATAGAATCAGTAAATATTTGAAACTAATTGTTCAAGAAACACAAGTTGTAGGAACTGATTTGAACATCAGCTAAATATTCTAATTACAATTAAAAGAACAATTAATGAGCAACATTTAAATGAACTCTGACTGATTTATTTTCTATTAGACTTTAACAGTGAGTGTGAGAACTGACTGCATTTTAATAACGTGCACATTTTGATCAATTGACTTAGAGAAATGTGGGTTTTTGAACAAATCAAAACCAATTAGTAGTTTGAAGGAAATGAAGTTGAATGATTCAGAAAATCTATTTGATGAAAGAACAGAAAGCTGTAGAGACATTTGATGTTTAATAAATGTAGCAGGACGACTTCAAGTGTTCAGAAACTTTGTAGGAGCCACAACACAAGGAACACGTGTCGTCCTTACACTGGCATGATGTGTCCAACTCAAGTTGTTACTAAATCTCTTTCAAAATGATCAGGAACAAGTTTGAAGATTCATTTAGTTTCAGTGAAAAACATTCATGTGTAATTTATGATGTTCCTGAATCAAACTTGAATAAAAGGTGCACTCTGTCCTTCATGGCCATAACAGCAACTAAAATCATTTTAAAAGCAGCTCACCAGATATAATTCAGTGTTAGACTTTTCTCCTCTGTCTCTTAATAAATACTTACCTAAATGTTTTTGCAGCTTTTGAATCGTCTTCTGCTGAACTTGATCCACCAGAAAGACTGTGTGGTTCACAGAGTTTCTGCACAAATCAAAACATGAAACTTTAAATTAAAATGTTCTGAGAGAACAACAAGTATCATTTTTATGCACACTAACCAGAAACCTCCAGTGATTTTGGTCGACATGGACAAATAACACAAAGCTCTTGTAATTCTCAACATTTACCAGGAAAAACAAACACTTGATGTTAAAATGATATAAATGTCATTTCTGACATTAATGTACAATTTGAACTTTATTTTCCAAATGGTTATTGTCACTTAAAACATTAAACATATAAATGATTTTAAATGAAACATTCCTGTTTTGACTTGAACTATGTTGCATTTCAACGAGACAATAAATTTTCTGCACTAATGATGTGATTTCTGGTAAAGCCGTACTTACCCTCGCTGTTTCTACAACATCCTGAAGAACGAGCAACAAACACAGAAACTTAGGGACAATTCTGTGGAAAATGTCCAACTTTGGAGGGCCTTTATTTTGAAATTCCACATGAGATATTGGTGACATCTGGTGAGCAACATCTGGAGATGTTCTACAGTCAGCCTGAAGTGAGACTGGTCACTGGAAACTAAGAGTTTTGTTTTAATGTTAATGGAAACTTCAGGGAAAACAATTGAACATTCTCACATCATGAACATACAAATAACCACAAAACAGAGACTAAAGTCAAATATTATGGATCATATTCACAGGCGGACATTAAAAATCATTTCTGAACATGGACCAGCAAGAATGACTTCAATCAACTCGAGTCAAAACATGAAAAACTCACTGGAGTTTTTTATTTATTTAACTTACAACACAAAAAGTTCTCTACTCTTTGGATATGGGGGCGAGATTGAAACTTTTTGTGGAAACAGCTGAGCAGGAATGTTGGTCCCGTTACAGCTTCCAGTGCTAACACGTGTTTTATGTCCAGAGTCTGTACCAACAGGAGACACACATCAGCTTTTATTTTGAAAGAACCTCGCAAGCATGACTACCTGGTGGTGTTAGCGCGTGCACAACCAAACCGCGTGAGCGCTGACTTTTTGAAGTGGAGGCTGCTGGACCGAAGTTTAATATTGAACAACTTTACTAGAAATTACAACCATACCTGTTAGAGAACAAACATGTGGTTGGTGGAGGTCTGACGTGAAGCTCCTGCTCCTACACAGAAAAATAGAGACACAGTCACGAGACTAGATTATCCAAGCAC